GGGGGGGGGAGGGGGGGCGGCGAGGGCTGTGGGCAAGTCACCACGGTTTTGGGTAGCCCAGCAATACGGCATGGCGTGGCCACAGCGGTGTGGTATGGCTTCGCCCGCTGTATGTCGTGTGTGTCCCCCTCCCCGTTCCCCAACGACGCTGAGGCAGGGACATGGCGTCAGCGTGACGCGCCTTTATTTCAGCGACCCGCGTCCCGCGAACGTGGCGAAACCCCGTTTTCCCCCCACCCCGGTAAAGCCTCGCGGTCCGGAGGCACCCCCGGTAGCCGCGTGGGTGGTCAACCGTCCCAGGCGGGGACGCGGCGCGGCGCCGACGGCCCCGACTCGGAGGCGGGGGGCGAATCGCTGGCCCGCGGCTGGGCGAAGACGCGGTTGCGGGTGCCGAAGAGGATGGGGCGGTGGCCGTCGCGATGGCGGCGGGGCGAGCAGAAAGGGGCCCGGAAGGCCTCCTGGAAGCCCCGTCGGAAGTTCTCGTTGAAGTAGCCGTAGATGATGGGGTTGGCGCTGCTGTTGAAGAAGGCCAACCAGTGGGCGAAGGGGAAGACGTAGGCGGTGACCAGGCGGAGCTGCCCCTCGCTCAGCCGCCCGTAGTCCGTCAACAGCATCAACGTCCAGAGGGGCAGCCAGGAGAGGGTGAAGAAGAGGGCGACGATGATGAGCATGTTGATGACCTTGGCCTTCCTCCGGGAGACCTTCCTCCCCTCCGGCTCCTCTCGGCTGCCGGCAGGCGCCGCCGACTTGAAGAGCTTGAAGGCTATGCGGGTGTACATGACGATGATGAGGGCGAGGGGGGCCACGTAGATGTGGGAGAAGAGGACGGTGGTGTAGATCCTCCTCATCCCCGTCTCGGGCCAGGCCTCCCAGCAGGAGTAGAGGGGGTAGGAGTTGTTGTAGGTGTCCACCATGAAGTGGTGCTCCTCCCTGGTGACGGTCAGGGTGATGGCAGCGGGGCACATGATGAGCAGGGCCAGCACCCAGATGAGAGTGATGGTCACCAGGGCTTTTCTCAGTGTCAGCTTCTGCCGGAAGGGGTGGACGATGCAGCGAAACCTGTGGGAAGGCAGATGGTGGTGGCTTTGGGCACCTGATGGGATGTCCCTGGGGAAGGAGGGTGGTCAGGACCCGGGGGTGGGAAGGGAGGGTAAGGTGGATTGCTCTTTACAGATGGGTTTTGATGGCAGAGATAGGTTGGGATCTCTCCAGTTTTGGTGTTTTCAGCTCAAGGTGGGGAAGGACACCTTGCTGGGTTGCCCCATGGACAGATTTGTGGTCCTCCTGGAGAGCTGGGATGCACTCCTGACATCCCCAGGAGCTTTCCCGTGATGGAAATGGCACGGGACACCTGAACACGCTGGGGGTGGCTTGGTGCCCACGTCCCTCCATGCCCGCGCCAACGTACCTCTCCACGGCGATGGCCACCAGCGTGAAAACAGAGGCAGAGACGGACATGCCCTGCACCAGGCCACTCATTTTGCACATGGTGTTGTCAAAGGGCCAACCTGCAAGGGGACACCACGGAGGTTGTAGGTGCCTTTGGCTCAGCCAGGTCCATCAGCATCTCCCTCTAGATGTCCCCATCTGCTGTGTCATTGCTGGGGGATGCTAAATCCTGCTCCCAAGGGGGAGCTGCATTTTTTACTGACACAGAGATAGTCTTTAGCAGTACGGATGCTTGGAGACAAAAACCCAAATTGGTAAAAAAGATGCATATTGCACTGCTTAGAAACTCAAGGAACACGGTGGTTATCATTTCTCCTACCTTTGCATAGGGCTTGAGCTGTTATCACGGGGACTGACCTTGGGATCCTCAATCAGAAGGGCTTTCATCTTGTTTCTTGACCCCAGTGCTAAGGCATTGGCAATAAATAAATCATGTCCCGTAATAAATACAGACTCTGCCCCGTGCCCTGGCTACTGCTGGGGCTAAACCCTGCCAACTGTACCAGTGCCGCCTTTTATCTTTGGAAAGGTCAACAGGCAGAGCTGAGCCAGCATGGGAGAAGATCGATGCAAGAAGAGGAGGGGTTTATTCAGTGTTGCTTGATGGAGAATGGCTGAACATAAATATGTAAATGCAGCATTAAGGTCATACTTATTTTGCTAAAAATGTCCAAAACCTGAAAACCGAAAGGCCTTTACCCCCCTAAAGTAGTGGCTCTAAATGAAATGATACCTTTCATCAGATGTGGTTGAGTGGCCACCACCTGCCCTCCTCATCCTCAGCAGAAAAATCACCCATGGGGTGGCCTCATGGGTGGGGGGCAGAAGGTGGGTGATGTTCCCCACCACTTTGTCTCTCTGCCTTGCATCTCACCCCTCCACTGCCCCGCTCACCCGTGATGAGGTTGTCCACCAAGGTGGTGGGCATGCAGAAGATGCCCACCAGCAGGTCGCTGATGGCCAGGTTGAGGATGAACATGTTGGTGACCGTCCGCATCTGGCGGTTCTTCACCACGATGAAGCACACCAGGATGTTGCCGATCATGCACATGAGGAAGATGAAGGTGTAGGCCAGGATGAACATGGCGGCCACGGGGGACGAGTGCTGGTAGTATGCTGAGAAGGTGTAGTTCTCCCTCAGGAGGTGGCTCTCACTTGCGGTAGAGTTGGGCCAGCTGCCATTGGAAGGGCCTAGGGAAGGGAAGGCAGGAAAGTGAAGGTGGGAGAGGATAAAGCTATTATTCCCTTCATTTCTTAATGCCCTCAGAGGTGGATTTTCATATTTATACCAGTGCCCAGCCTGGCTGGGATGTGTCCTGCTGGGATCATCTTGGTGCCCCAACAAGTCTCCTCCTCCTTGCGTTGTTCAGCCCAAGGTACTGTAGCTAAATTATTATTTTATACTACTATTATTTTATATAATTATAATTTTATATCATTATTATTTCATATCATAATTTGGATGAGGAATTAAAGCAGCCCAGAAGACAGCCTGTTCTCATGGGATTTTTTTTAGGGGTGAGCAAGGAAGAGAAATCCATGTCCTGACACTGCAATACTCAAGCCGCACGGGAGCTGTGTCTGTGTGGTCCCCAGCATGGCCAGCCTGGGAATGTCTCTGCTTCTCAGGTGTCTGCTGCTGCTTCTCCTTGAGGTTGAGGTTTGCAGTTTGAGGTCGCCTAAAATCTTCTCCCTGGCAAAGCCACAGTTCCCAAGGGAGATGGGCTGGGGCAGAGGAGACCCTGCCCTCCCTTTACATATAAAGTGATAATTATACATAATGATGATTGTTATCTGGGACCCTGAGAGCTTCTGATGGAGGGGTGGATGGTGTTTTGTCGCTACAGATTTAACAGGAGGAGCAGCTCTTTGCAGCACCCACCCTTGGGTTTCCCCAGCTTTACGCAGGCAGGGATGCGAGAGGATGCCGGGGGCAGGCAGGAGCTGCCTGCAGCGGTGACGGGATTTACTCTGGGCAAACCCAGGCTGCAATTTTAAGGCAAGCAAAGGCATATTTTTGCTTTAAGGCTCAGCCTAACCGCCTGCAGGTCAGCCCTGCTCTGAGAAAGCACTGCAAAGCTGCTGCATGGGGGGTGGCCGTATCATCCCCCCATCCCTGTGCCGGTGCCCCGCTCGCCAGCCAAGATCCTTTTCCCAACTGCCGGACCACCGGCTTCCCTGAGGCTCCGGCATGCAAGGAGGCCCTCTCCAGCCTCTATACCCCTGTCCTGGGCGCAGGATTCGGCCAACACGTTGCCAGCTGGGCTTCAGAAAGGGGGGTTTGCAGGCATGGGAGAAGGAGCCTCTTGGAGAGGCAAGGAAGCATCGGGACTGCTGGGGCAAGGTGCTGCGGCCAGTCGGCATCAGGTACACCCGCACGAACCACCTTCGTTAGCAGAAGCGATAGCAAAGACTGTAATGAGGTTGTCCGAAACCTGTGATATTAAGCCCGAAACTTTGCTGGACTTTACCTCTTTGGGCTGCAGTGTCTTGCAGCATTAAGCGGGAGGTGGGTGTCCTATGGGTGAAGAATGACAGGCGGTTTCAAAAGTGAGGTGGAAGACGAGGAAAGGAAAATAAGGGGGTGCCGAGCACCTGGCTCGGTGCCGGATGGATGGAGACATCCTCCGTTCAGCGCTGACATCTTGGACGCGGTGATAAGGGGACATGGGGGGGGCAGCAGCCGGGGGGGGCAATGGACCACCCATCACCCTGCCTGGCTGGGGGAAACCACTGCGGGGAAAGGCTGGGCTGATGGAATAGGGGCTTGGGGGGCGGGTAGACACCTTTTTTTAGGGATAAAATAAAATAAATCAGGTCTTGGTACTCACCTCCGCCGGCCCGACCTGGCTCCGGGGGCTGCATCGCCGGCATGTGGGCGGGGGGGGGGACGGGGGACGGGGACCAGTTTGTCCCCGTCCCTCCTCCAGTCCCCCCTTCCCGGGGCTGAGCCCCGGTGCCGGTACCGCGATGCCGGTGCCGCCGCGCCGGTTGCGGCT